CAAAAAACCCTCCCTGATTGTAATATTCTCCAGATTCAACAATAATTAGATTTCTGTAAACAGAAAAAAAAACCGTTTTATAAATAAACAACACAGTTGAATTCCGGCAATCATGAAATGTTTGAAAATTTTATTACTGGTAATCAAACAAACAAAGCCGGAACGTATTAAGACGTAACACTCCTTAGAGATTGGTTTCATTAACGAATGCCAGTGAACACAGTGTTGGATAATCACCAGAAAATTGTAATTTTGTATGACTGCCGACATTTAAGGTAAACTACCATGGTATTTGAATGCAATTTTCATTTCCAACATAACGGATGGGGTTTAATATACACAACGAAGTTCGTTGTCCGGAATACTCTAGTCTACATATATATGCTTTTAGTCGACGGATATCAGGCAGGTTAAATGGCCAATCGCATCTTTGTTTGTTTTGTTTTTGACAACGATGGAGCAATGTCAATTTTGTCCCTACTTCATATGATATTAGCATTAGCGGTTGTACTTGTGACGCGTACTTCACAAATCGTCAAATAACACCACATCCGTGACATTTATTGTCAGAAAGTGACTTCAACCACAAGAATATAAATACTTCAGAGTTGTCTAATCTTGCAGTGTTTTGGCGGGAAATTGTTGATGTGACATAGTTTGAAAGGTTATTTATTGGTCAGCGCATTTAAGGATAAAAATGATTAGATTGGCGATACTGTAAATATTTGTAGTACTGCAAACAGCTGTCAAATATTGTGTACTGACTCATATTTAACCTACAGATAGGACAACGTATTATATGTATATTAACCACAACAAATACACGTTCATGTTGTGTGATTTCAACGGAAGCTTCCATGCATGTAATCAGGAATCATCACTAGTTACTTATTTCTATTATTATAAACTATAAATACTACTTTACATATATCGTGGGTAGATTACGATTGGGGTCGTTTCACAGGTTACTATAGAGGAATACTATATTTATTTGTATTGAACATGGATAATTTTAGTCGAGTCGCCGAGTACCTCAACGTTCAAACTGATAATGTATATCGACCACCTGAATTCGGCAGAATTCATCTCCAATCGACCAATTTAGATTCTACTAAATTCTTGGACACGGTTTCGAAATTTAGAAAGAAATTTAAAACGTTTAAAATGGATCTATACCCTGATATTTCGCACCAACTTCTGGAAAACACTTTTTAAAAACACGTTGACATGAAAACCCCACCACTTGAAACAGTTTTACAAGAAAAACTCAACCCTAATTACAAATACAGTATATCACAATCTCGGTAAAGTGGATCTATCACACACATATCACACATTATATCAACACAGCAAAAATACGATCTTTTCGATTTCTAAAAATGTTGAAAAGGAACCCTTTGCCGTTTTTGAAAATATAATTGTTAGACGCCTTGGGAGCCTCCCATTCCTGTCGGCAGTTACTATGATTGGAAATAATCGTTACAAAAATGTAAAATATTTTATTGATAACGACCCATAAAAGTGCAGTTCATTTCTTTGTTGCTTTGTATGAACAGATGATTTGCATTGATAAGTTCTTTTACGTCACAACTATTTTTGTTTAACAACTTTTATATGTTGTGTTGAACTTTGGAGTCATGTCGCTTAACAAGAACAGATAAATATATATTATAATACCATGATTTTGAAACTAAAAATACGGGTTTACACAAAAGACAAGTGGGAGAATTGGGATTGAGATCGGGACGAAGAGCATGAGACATTACGATTGATGGCGATTGGGTTATATTCACGTAACGTTATTAGAATGGCACGCCTCGAGTTGGCTCACTGACATCAGGGATCATTAGTACTGTCATACATTCAACGTGCCCACAAAACATAAACTGACCATCTGCATATAAAAAAATATGTTTCATTCTTACATGGGTTAAAATGCGCTCATCGTGACCGCTTGAACTAAAATGCAGTCGTGTCACCTCTTCACGTTGATACAACGGTTGATGTATTGGCGGCCTCGGTATTATCACTTCGTATCAGATCAGCCGACTATATGCCCCGATAAGGCGATGTTCTTTTTGGGGGTGCAGATAAACATTGGCCTATAACTTATGGTACTGCTACAACTATATCTAGTTGTTCGACTCAAATACCTCACAAGAACTCAGTAACATCGCAAAACGTACCTGTTTACGCTCAAGCGTGATTTGATTTTTGATTTTATTCACGATGACCCATGCCGTGCGCCCAGTACCACTACAATACGGACGAGATAACAAAGCGGTGTGGTCTTCTATGCTTCTAATTTGCGTTTAGAAGTAGCTATGAACTTTGAACTCTAACATGGTGACACGGTTCGATCACAATGACCGCCGGTGACCCTATTATGCCGGTTGTCAGTGTGTGCATATCACATAAGGTCTAATACAACAATTAATCTCCCAATGGAGATTGAAACAATGAACACATTTGAAATGCGTTGCTATTTAACACTTAGAAGTAATGCAACTTTACAAAAAGTGATTTGTCTTTTTTAAAAATCTAATAGTCATGGCACATAAACTGGTATTGGCAAAATTTCGCAAACTTTTTCTTAAAAAATCTAAGGCTTTCCTATTCTATATTACTAAATAAAACAGTTTGAAATCCAAGCATGGCATCCCTTACGATAATTGTTTTCAGATTTCAAAAGTTTCGCCAAAATGATCATTTTGGATCCAAATTACGAACACCGAGATCACATGATCAAACGTCGGATATGAAGGAGTGCGATTTACGGCGAAGTGAACAACAAATATATTACAAACATTTTGTACAGTTACAACAATACTTTACTATTTATGTCAATTCGCAATCTCAGCAAGTCTTTTAAGTGTTTCTGTATTCGATGTTGTCATAATGAAAGTTTCACGAGTTGCAGAGATGTAATAATAATTTGAAATGTACATGTGTTTGAATGAATTAATGAATGGGCATATCAAGAGAAAATTATATTACTCTTCAATTTCTTGAAAGTCTCAAAGAGGGCGACATTGTTCACTGCACTGCAAATCAATCACCTAGCCAGTCTCAATACTGAGAGGATGGCGCGACGCGGATTGTAAATTACATTGTCTGAACAATCAGATGATTGTGTAAGGAACAAACTAGCAAAAGTATTTGTTTTAACAATTGATCTTCAAATTTATTGTAGCTTTGTATCATTCGAATGTGCGGGAATTTATATATACATTACACAATAAAATATTGTTATCTATATTAGACATTTTTTCTTTTATTAATATCACATTCTTGAAAATCACAGCAGATGTGTTTTACCAATTTAGTTAAATATTTTTGACAAGAACCTGAAAATACAACAGAAATGATAAAGATTTTTTTGAATGACAGATACTGTAGACTTTGTAAGCTTGGAAATACTGGTCAACATGATGTTTTTAATATTGTTGTAATCTTGTTGCAATAAACGCAATATAAAGTGCATATATACAGTTACAATGAGATCGAGTCGGCAACAGCGTGATGTTTGAATCGAAACCAGTCGTTGCTAAACAACTGACAATAAAGTACTACTCACAATACCTCGTATTGCGTAAGATAATCGATATTATCTACGTTAAGTAATCATCTTGTAATCGATTGTACGGGAAGATTGTCGATTGAGCGTGTATGTGTCGGTATTCTTTGTTAATTTGTGTCAGTGATAGATTGTGATATAATTATAGAAATGTGTTGGAAAATATGCAAAATGGGGTATGGATATATATGTAAAAATATGGTAATTTCTGTGGTTGCCATTATGCTTAATCTCCAAGCATAAATAGATTATTATCGTTGATGGCGTGCTCGACACATCTCGATGCTTGAAAATGTCCTAGGTTCTTAATACAACGAATGTTTGCACTCAAAAAAGTACACTTTTTGATTCTATCCAATAAAGCAAAAGATACCCTCGATATAAATTTTGTGATCATCTGAAATACCTATATCAATACACTATACTGTAAAGCACAACAAAATGAAACAGTTAGCTAATGCTATATAGTAACATTCGGAACAATTTCACACTCTCTTCTTTGAGATTAAATTACATCGCTATAGATGTGTTTATTATAATAATAATATATATGTTTATATGCAAACATACTACATATATATACATATGTATATCACAAATTATCTATTCATAAAATACCTATGATTAAATAACAAATAAAATGGTTATCCATTAACCAACGTACGAGCTCTTGTGAAGTACAGATGCTGGGGTATGAGTGGGAAATTGATATGTTGGTAGGTTGAAAAGGTCATGTTTGCCGTGCCATCAAGTACAGCATGGACCTACTAGTATCTTTGTTTGTATATGGCTCATCTAGGAGACACGAGGGATACACTCTTTATAACGTTTGGTAATGGCACATGTTTTCAATATTAGAAAGTCTGGATCAGTTAGTGTATTGGTCATTTTGAGTACACCTAGTATTTTGAGTGTCCGAAGACTATACACAATATCATCACGCAATGGGAACAGCTACAGCGACAGTCATTACTATAGTAAATACTAAAAACGTGCTGACAACACATGCATATTATAATCGTATATTAAATAGGTTACTCCTGAGCCTATGAAGAATATTTTTTTCTTTTAATTCTAGCAGTCACGTCCATCGATCTTTGTATGGGTGAGGTCTTCCAATACTCCACAACAGTAACTCCAGGCCTCTCACTCAAACTTTTGAGTGTGATTTTAGAGCCTAACCATTGATTGACTGATTGCAGTGTGCACTGGTTAATCATCAATTGAGAGGACGGGGATTTCACAATTTAGTATTTATGTTACAGTATACTGTGCAATAGACATGCTAGTAATTTGAGTGGTGACTTTTCAGCATGTGTGAGTGTGTGCGAGGTCCTTGGCACCATAACTGTAGCTGCAACATCTTGACGGCGAGTAGTTGGTATAGGTAGTAGGGAATTAGGAAAAGGATAGTGTAATTCAGATGGCATCATTGAAAGAGCTACAAGACAACAGTTGTGGCGATGAACTATTAGAAGACTATGCCGAGGACTATGGCGAAGGGGACGCGTTTCTCAGTAAAGCATCTGAAGTCAGCGATTTTGATTCGCCAGACAAACAGCAGAAATCAGTTTTTCATTTCACAAAGACACAGAAGTGGACACTACTTGGTCTATCCGTTGCCACGATGGTTGATCTTCTGGCCAACAGCATTCTTGCCCCGTTTTTCCCACGAGAGGTACGTTTTTCCCGCGAGAAGTACATTCTACACAATGACTGACTGTAAATGAGTTTAAATCAAAACAAATTGTTGAATAAAATTAAGTTATATCTTATGTTAATTACCCTGGATTCGCTATGTTGAACTCGGGATTGAACTGATTAGATTTCAAATATGTTCTTAAAATTGTTATCATATTAAACAATAGTCGCGTATTTTTATCAAGCGTGTTTTACGTCTCATGGCGACCATATCGAACGAGGCATGTCGCGATGTGTGAGACGTAACCGCAAGTCTATGTACTAATTTATCTTTAATTTATATAAACGTGTTTTTTTTATAAATGTTAATAAATTTCTTTTTTCCTTTAGGCTAACAAAATGGGCATGTCAGATGCTATAATTGGGCTAATATTTGGATGTTTTTCCTTGACTATGTTTATAATGTCACCCATATTTGGGAAATTTGTAAGTATATGCATTATGACATTTCCTAAATGTTCTCGTAGGCTATATCAAGATATGCTAATTTAAAAGCCAATATGAGGATGGTCACATGCATATGATTCAATCTGATGTTTTTTTATTCACCTTTCACCCTAAATCTTGTAAATTCATTTAAAAGTATGTGCTACATTGTCGCTAATGTTCAGAAAATCACAATATATTTATTTTGTTATTTTTATAGATTTCTCAAATTGGGTGCAAAGTTATGTTTCTTGCAGGTTCATTTCTCTGTGGAGTGTGTGCAATAATATACGGGTAAGAAATCAAACACTGTCAAATTTATTATAATATACCGTGAGGGGGCGAAGTGTGGTATATTTCTCCAGGGAATGTCACTAACGTACAAAAGAACAAATTAGAAGTTTGATTTGATGTGGTGAGAAAATATGTATTGTTGTGTATGACAGAAAATAGTGTACAAATACATATACTGCAAACCACATACATCATCATGTATCGTTGGCTGTCCAATCAATGTGAAACTGAAATATATAATTATTAACTATTTCTATAGCTTTCTCAATAACTTGGATTCCAGACCAGTGTTCGTAGCTTCTTGCTTTATCGTAAGGTCAGTTGAGGCAGTTGGGGCAGCTGCTTCCACAACGGCATCAGGTGCAATCGTTGCAAAAGTGTTCCCAAACAACACTACACTCACTTTGGTAAGTATCTGTTCAACCTTGCATAGAATGCTAGATAATTATTCAAAAAACTATTTGTAATTTGCTTTTAGTGACGACACTTTATACGCAACACCGAATCCATTTCAGTAGTGTCAGTTTCCAACAACAGCATATATTCTAAATGTAAGTTATTAACACACTGAGCGATCTCTGACAATAGTGACGAACTCTTTCCTCGTTGTAGGGAATACTTGAGGCATTTGGTGCCCTAGGTCTCATGCTGGGGCCACCTTTAGGTGGATATCTTTACCAGGTAAGTATTGGAATGAAGTTAAGACGATTATTATGTGAGGTTTATACTCTTGTGGCAAAACAAGTAGTCCGATTTCAGTTGATCAATACAGATATATTTAGGACATTAATAGTTTGTCATTATTGGCTGTATTTCTAACTATGTTATGGTCGATTGTAATGTTGATTGAATAATGTGTTAGGAAAGTGCCTAAAGCATACCAGTTTTCTATCAGTATTTAACTTTAAGAAGGCAATATAAATGCTCAGCTGTATAGACTTTTTTCCTCTGAAACAAGGTTTAGCGGCATATAGGCACACAGCAAATGAACAATCACAAGCTTTTATTTATAATTTTACTGATTTGACTATGGACTGTGATGTCAGTTCTTGTCGATTGTATTGTGTTCTTGAAATTGAAATTCCTGGGGATAGTTATCGTTTGGGAACCTCATAACTACGTTCATGAAAAGACCAATTTCAAGTTTCATAATAAATTTAAAGAAATTAAAATATAAAGATATCAGTGAGTATATAACTTGATGGATCAAAATAAATCATTTTAGGCGCTTAAGATGCGTTTTTTTTTAGGACGGCGTTGTATATAAATTCATATCCACCTCAAATAACAACTCGTGAGCCCATCAATTGATGACGTATAAAAAAGTAGTACAAAAACTGGTTTGTTTGCCGATCGAGAGACACGTGATTACAGTAGTAAACCTGATATTGAGTACAAACAATGAAATAGACACAAATTGTATATCAACTATATTCCCATCATCATAATCTGTTTTCTGTTTTTCTATTTTTTTTAGGCTGGCGGATTCTTCCTACCATTTACTGTGCTAGGAGGAATGGCAGTACTCGTGACGTTTTTCAACTTTTGTATTCTGCCCAATGTCAAAGGTATAGTCGTAATATAGGTACATACATTGGGACACCAAAACTGTTATCACAATCATTATTTTGATAGACGGAATTTAAAACGGCTGCATTCTATGTATGTAGATGTTACAGTATCTATATGTTGTGCGTATTGTCCGAGATTCGTCTTCGAAATAGGTGCTGTGAGGGCGGTATTAACTAATCCTATATACATGCTATGGTAGGTAGCGCGCATTTCTACATTTGTAAGCCGTTTGCATTCATCGTGTGTTCGAATCCCATGTGATAATTTATTTTGTTCAGGTGCCTGTAATTATACTGTGTCTGAGTAGTTTTCCCTCGGTAGAACTCATTGATTCCACAGGAAGTGGACCCTATATTATTTATGTATTCACTGAATTTACTGTTTTACAAAAAAATACGCTACAATCACGTCATATTTACGAGTCGTCGCGAGCCGTGAAGAGACGAGTCAAAATATGAAGATCAGTGAAACAGTGCGATGCCACTGGGTTGTCCTGTAATACTACCGGCACAACAAACCCTTTCCCCTCATCTTTAAAAATATTTATAAATGTCAATGACTAATCAACGAGCGTAGTACGCAATGACATCAGATGAAAACTTTACAATGTTATTCAATCGACCAACAGAAACCGCTCGTGTAGGTTTGAATGTGATGTCCATAAACAAACTATGATGTAATTTGCATTGTACATTTTCCTGCAAGGGCTCTGTGTGGTACAGGAAATAGCGTTTCAGGGGGTCTAGATTTCAATTTAATAAGGTGATGGTGAAGCTATCTCGCCCCCAATGCAAAATGTCATGCCGCCGCCACTGATGTCGATGGATATGTCATACATGCATATGGTTTCATGGTTTGTATGTGCCACGGGACAAATACAGATGATTTCGAAGCAGATTTCTTTATCTTTTGTAGAACTAGATGCGCGCACTGAAAGCTGTGAACAACACACAGACACGCGCGCTCTTGGTCGAAGTTCGTAGAACATTTCAGAGTTGATTGTTGATTGCGTACGCTTAGTTTAAACTACGGCACAATTTTGTCGATCATGACTGCTTATGACCGGGGCTTATGACGACGTGTGAACTATTTTAGTAATGCTTTTGTAAAAAAAATTAAATTACTCTGAAGCCAATACGTACGTTGATATGCCTATGCAATTAATGGAATGTCTGGTTGAAATTAGATACACAGTTATATCATAACGTCTTCGGGATGATGCGGTAAACTAATTACTCGTTCTCAGTCGAACGTAGAACACCAGCTAAAAATGCCAAGCGCACACAATAGCTATACAATTTTTGATCAGTGATCATAAAAAGTTGTAAAAAAACATTGCAACACACCGTAGTCGAGTTTGTAACGCAAATAAATACAGAAAAAAAATATTTTCTGTATTTGACGAGTCGCTGAAGATGGGATCATATTTTAATGTATGATCACGGACCGCATGTTTCATGTCTGATCAAATATTAAAGGATAGTGGTCTTTGCGAAAGGCAGGACACGGCGCGACGCCCACCACACTTTAACTATCAAAGGTTCTAAGCGGTCATGGAGTTCCAAGTCACATACACCACAAATAAATCTTTCTGACGAATAGTGCTTACAACCTGCTCGAAATATTGTTTTTCATGTTTGCAGATGAAGGAGCCCCAAAGTCAGGATCAATAATACAATTGTTGAAAATACCGTCAGTTATTGTCACTTCTATATCTGTTATCACTGGTTCCATGGCTTTAGGTGTGTTGGATCCTTTATTGACGAAACATTTGACACCGGTAAGGAGTGCTAATCTCGTATTGTCGTCGGGTTACCCCAAGTTTACTTTATTTATTTATTTGTTTGTTTACATTTTAACATTCACATATTTGTGTTTTTTTAAGTTTCGCCTAAATAGTGCTAATGTTGGTTCAGTATTCATGGCAATGGCAGGTCCGTATGCAGTCTCTGAGCAGCATTTATTGTTGGCTGGCTCACAGATAAATGGGTAACTATATCCAATTTATATGTACTAGTATTCCAAATTGCTATCATGATTAAAATTAACATATAACGCTTTATCTGAAATTCCATATGAATGGTGTATTTTTGTGTAGAGACAAGTCAAATTTGCAAAGTCAATTCTGACCAGCTGCTGGGATAGACTAACCACAATCGAACGAGCTCGTGTTACAGTATGAACATATTATTATATAATAATATCATTCTATTAAATTTGTTTTCTTCGCTAGAATATTGGTAAATTATTAATGATAGTAGGTAACATTGGTTGTGTGGCTGGATATCTTTATGTGGGACCATCTCCATTTTTAAACATAAAATCGTAAGTATCGATCAGATCATTTTAACGAGCTAACACATATGTTATTAACAAACTGGTCTTTATTTAATTTAAATTGGATTATTATTTTGTAGTGAATTATGGATCGTTATTTTGTCTCTGGTCATCATCGGCATGGGAGTGGCTTGTTCACTGGTGCCGACATTTACGGACATTGTTGAATCAGCAAGGTATGTCATTATCATCGTCTCTTTGTCGGAATCGTCCACATTAATACCTTTTATAATGGAATTCACGGGTAATGTCTTTGGCACGCATGTGGAATCAAATTGTTGAACTCCAGCAATATATGAATTGATCAACAATGTTATTTTTTATTTATTTTTTAGATGGTATGGTATGGAGCAACACATGGGTACATATGGAGTGGTATCTGGCGTGTATCGTGCTTTGGAGTCAATAGGGTACGTACAATAATAATCTACCCTCGGTGGTTCCAATGTGTAACATAATAAGGTTGGATTGACCTCGTACGTACAAAGCGTTACCCACAAAATACACCACAAGATCCAGCACCCATTTTCTCACAATGCGACTGAAATTACGCATATGTTTTCTTTCACTCGGCGAATGACATTTCTTAATGTGAAAAAAGGTCTCTCTGAGTATGGCCTATATCAAATATAGTATTATAAAGCCATTTTTTGGGCAAACGTACAATTCCAATAGTTATTAGGAATTTCAATCGAAAAATACATCAAGTGAATGTATACACTTTCTATTTCAGGGGTTTTATCGGTCCTACAGCTGGGGGAGCTTTGGAACAAGCCTATGGTTTTAGTTGGGCGGCATGCATCATGGCGTTAATATATCTCATGGTTTCATTTATACTGATTGTATTTTGTATATGGGAATATCAATGTGGAAGAGGGTAGGTTTCCGTTCTGTATGAAGTATTTTTGATTTTGTTTTGTTTGAGCACACATTACATGACACGAGTGACATAACGTGACATGCATAACATAACGTGACAAAACGTGACATGTGTGACATAACGTGATATGTGTGACATAACGTGACATGTGTGACATAACGTGATATGTGTATGACATAACGTGACATGTGTGACATGTGATATGTGTATGACATAATGTTACATGTGTGACATAACGTGATATTTGTGACATAACGTGACATGTATGACATAACGTGACATGTCTGACATAACGTGACATGTCTGACATAAAGTGACATGTGTAACAATCATTCCATTTGCAGAAGACGGAAATCAGACAAACGACCCAGCGTGATTCTTCTGGTTAATTCCGCCGAATCAAAGACAGAGAATGGAGACCTGTAGTTCATTTTTTATCAATTTGAGGCGCTTTAAAAGGGCATAGTCATGCACTTACAAACTCAAAGGCCACCCAACTCCGCGGTGTAAAGTAAATTTGAAGTTCCTGGCGTTATTTCCACTTTCAAGATGTAATATTGCTATTATATGCATCTCTGTGGATATACAAGGAGTTGAGTTGAACAGTTGATCTTTGAAGAAGAGTGTCATCTCGGACAAGAGTCCACTGCCTGGCAACGGCCCGTACATTGACAATAGTCAATACAATCTTTAAAGAGCCACAGAATACCCCGCATGTTCTATGTGTAATGTTTGCGTAAAAGTGAATGTATGTAAAATATCAATATTTTTGTAATCACATAAAAAGAATTTTAACGAAGACAGTGAAAAGTAGTTCCTGAGAGACAGTATACATGGCAATCAATTTTTGTTTCTGATAACATTTTATTAAAGCAGATTATCTCAGGACATATACTATTATAATGTACACATCACTTAGTCGTTAGAGGGCGCGGTTTATTGCAAAGGTATATTGTGGTGTACTACAGACAGTGAAACCGGTATAAGTGTAATTGTAAAAATCTAAGATGACACTTACATATAACGTTAATATGGATTTTATAATTAATTAATTTCCAAGGTATTACGCCATGCTAGGCTCTGTCGCAGATGTGCAAAGTTTTAAAAATACATGGTAATATTTCGTTTGTTCAACTGTTAGATTATTCGACAGTGGTCTAAATGATTGCGATGGCTGGCATTGGTAAATATAATCATTGCCGAAAATTATGTGTGGCAGCTTTTCTGAAATCTAAAATAATAATTATGTTGAGTACAGGGATTTGACAGCGAATCCTCCTCTTATATATATTGAAACCACCCGAAAAACTAGCCGAAAGAGCTAAACGAGCCAAAACAACCCAAACGATCCACAAACGACCCAATCGACCCACAATCTACCCAAAACAGGTTCAGTAAACCAACAAATGAATTCTAAAGTAATTTCCAATGTTGAAAGCCTATTCACTGAAAGTACAGTTGCGAATCACGTGATACCTAGTATAAAGCGCGTCCACGTCGCCGCGCGGCTGCTCCTGGGAGTGTCGTGGTTGTAGTGACGCTGGTAATGAAAGCGCTCTTCCAGGATTCGTGTATGTGAACGTAATCCGAAGTACATCCATGGCCAAGATAAGACGATTTCCATTTTCAAAACCGACTTAGCTGTATTAACGCTTGCACGTTCGGCAGTATTTGCCGTTTGAAACTGTTACGTTTTTGATTTTCGGCATTTTGATATTTTGAAACCCAACTTTGTCGTTATAACACACGTTTTTGACACGTTATCTTAAACATTTTCGGAAACAGTAATCCGACTTTGCCATTATAATGAAACAGGAGCATTAACTACATAAGGTGTTCAACCCATTTTACATTTATTTAAAACAATTATCTTTATGACGTGATTTAATGTCGACTTTTCCCAAGATACAAACAATAAAAAAAACACTGCAAATAAACAAAAGTAAAATTAATATCAAGCAATTTTGATAAAAACTATAAAAACTGCACTAAAAATATTAATATTATCAAAATATTGTGATATAGTCAATGTAAAACACCCCTTTCATTATCAATTACACCCCTTTCATTATCAATTACTCCACTTTCATTGTCAATTACACCACTTTCATTATCAATTACATCACTTTCATTGTCAATTACACCACATTCATTATCAATTACACCACTTTCATTGTCAATTACGTGTTCACTTCAGCTTAATATTGTTTGTCATTTTTAACACCCTCATTTTCGTGATTCTTCATGATAAGTAATACTGGTCTCCAAGTTGGAAACAGCGCCCTCACTAAGCTTATAAAAAGGCTGACGCTTGATCCACGGCCAATGTCTTTGGTTAGTAAATAAATACTTATGGGGTGTGATTTATTGGTTTCTAGGTTGTTTTATTCACAGTTAATTGTGTGTGGGTCGTTTCAATATATTTAAAAGGCCTCTGCCAAATACGTGCTGTAGTTCCGGAGTTAAGTCGGAGCATGAAGTCACCAGCAACAAGGTTACATCATGGTTTCGGTGCTTAAAAAAGTCGTGCTCGTAGATTATATTCCATGACTATCAAGCGAGCATAGTACAATTACCATTGTATCGTTCGTGGTGTGCGGCAATGCATTGTGGGATAAGTGCGAACAATTCTTTGAATTTATGAGTCACTACTTCCCGGTAAACATAACAAGTAGCTTTTGTGGTGTAATCCCCGCCGCGTTGTCTTCGGTACGTACAGTACACTAATAGTAATGTCTTCACTGAATTCTACGCATACTTGCCGTAACAACAGTTTAGAGGAGGAACCGGACTATGAAGACCCGATTGAGATCAAGGTTCTTCGAAAACAACGGGGCGATTTTATGCATGGCATTATACCGTCGCAGATTGTCCCTCATTTGACATGTCTGACCCGTGCTGACGAATCGTGTATCCTGGCTGCGACATCACGGAAAGGTGATATAGAAGGCGCGGGAGTTCTATTATATCACCTCATGACAAAAAAAGATGTCTGGTATGAAGATTTGTTGAAAGCACTTCGTAACAATGACGTGAAGCTGGAACACCTAGCCACATCACTCGAGAACGGTAAGGACTAACTATATCTATAGCTCTGTATGCATGTAATAATGCATATGTATATTAATTAAATAATTACTTGAGCGTATAAAGTACCCCCCCTACCGATGACTATAGTGTAATACGAAAGTCGAATAATATTATACACTTGCCAGCGAATGAGTCAGCTAAAAAGACCACGTGACTCGAAGTTGACCAATAGAGAATAGTGTCAGGTTACATCAGACTGCATCAGTAGTTCTTAATAACTAACGAGCGTTATGCATTCAAACGTTATGTATTTTTTACCTGCGTTCTATTAACTGCTACGCCACCATGTCTTTCTTCAAACTACCTGAATATTAATGTGTTTTGAAGATAAAACAAAATCTGCCGCAGAAATATTTCCTTCACATTCAACATACCCTATTTTTGTTCTTTATAGTATTCTGTACCAAATCCAATTAGTACAGCACAGCCACTTCGTACTACAAAATCACTTCGTACAACACAGCCAGATTGTACTACTGAATAACTTCCTACAACACAGCCTATTCGTATTACAGAATCACTTCGTACAACACAGTCCCCCCCCCGGGGGGGATACATATAACTTGCCTAATGGGGACGTACCCCTGAAATGGGTGTCGTTTGTTTGAATTTTAGGTTTAAATATCGATCTAATTTCTGGTCAAGATAGGTATAAATATCGGTAATATATACATCAACCCGGAAATTAAACATGGCAATCAACATTCAAACGGAGATTTAACACGAAATAGAATAGGACACACATTGCTCAGTGAAATATAGAGCAAATACGGTAACTGTTTTATTTGAAATAAACGGTGATGTCAGAAATGGTACTTTGGTATAAATATGGGTATAGATTTTGCCACTATCCAGGTATAAAAATGGTCACACTATTATGCACTCAGGGCACCTCCCAACTTAGGATGGCAAAGTCGGGACTTCTTTTTTGTTTTACAAAAAGAAATAATTGTTTTAAGTCTTTTTAGTTTGATCGTGAAAAGTAACCTGACCTATAAAGTAACTTTTTAAAGCCTGATTTGATTCGATAGCAGAAATGGATGCTTTCAGTTTGTTAAGTGCAACGGCAATACTTTCATCCGTGTTTGAAAACAAGTCGATTTAAATGTTCAATGTATACGAGTAGTGTTTGAAAATCGCCCGGACAGTGAAAGGTCACGTACATTAACATAGGTTAGAGATGACGTATACAGCTGCACTTTGATTCGTTGTCAATGCTAATGGACATCTTTTAATTAGCATAATCACCGGCGTGATTCCGCTCCGGTTTTCTCTCCAATTCAGGGTGTCGCCTGCAGATGCGTCCAGTCAAGATTTCTTTCGCAGTCACGCTAGTTTACGCGATCGCGTTAAAAAGGCTAAATTAATTATTTATTTTTTGTCAAACAAAAAAGAAGTCCCGACTTTGCCAGCCTACTCCATACCCAGCTATGTATCAACTGCACCCCGGAACACAGCCACTTCGTACTGCATAATTACTTCGTACAACGCAGCCACCTCGTACTACAGAATCACTTGTCTTACTATTTTTTCTATTTTCACCTCCAAGCTCATTCACGTACGCATTATATTTTGTAGTTTGATTTGATTTAAAGTTCTTAATTTGCTATTTTCACTAGAAAGTGTTTCTTTTTCATATTTATTTTCCATTGAGATGTAAAGTATCTGGTAAGTATATGTCCGTGCATATTATAATGATAATTTGCATATTCATTTTCTCATTTCAGGTATGTAAGTAAAATATCAAAACCAACATTTGAATACTCATAGTTAATTATTAACTCAGTTAATAATAACTCTGTTTTCACTGTGACTATTTTACTCTGATAATATATGGTAATTATTACTTAGAAGTGAAGAAAAGAAAGGAAGAGGTATATGATATAGAAATGACATGTGAAGATAGCTACAGTGAAAGTTATGACACGGGAAATCTCGAGTCTCCGCCAAGCCAGAACTGCAATCAAGTATATGCTTGTCATATCATTACAGGTGATTTGTTTTGCATTTGCATCGCTGAAACAGCAAACCAGTTGCAATGAAGCAATGCAATGACAAAAGTATCAACTCATTGTAAAGTAATATTTGAGTATTAAAGCTCTAGGACACATACATGTCATGTAATTAATAACAAGAAAGCGAACATAAAGCAATAGTAAGAGAGTATTATATCCACGTAAAGAGTTATGGAAATTAGAAATATATCATAACACTAATACAGTCTAATCCAATAACACTTGAAGGAAACTTAAAAGTAACAGTAAAAATACGAATGTGCAATTGGAAGTTGCATAGAGTACATAGAAAATACATGGTTAGATCAGTGATATACTGCGAGGTGCTTCAACAAGTTTGAGAAATTCGAGGTATATACCAGACAAATGACATTGATGTCATTTTAAATTACATACTCCATATATAGTGTAGTGTAAATCAACATTCTTCAAAACAAAATAACAATCAATCAATTACGCACATTACGTACATAGTTAAATCAGTAAATAAAAGATATATCGAGCCTAATATAAACATGAGGTGATTCAAATTAGCACATTCTGCTCAACTTATGCCCATATATCATTGGGAGGTATAACTAAGTGGTTTGAGAGTGTTGAAAGATATATCCTTCAAACTCGACAAATATGTTGTCAATCAGATATTCTGACATACTGACAATGCTGATTTATCAATATACTGTAGAATCTGGAACTAAACCTGGAATCAAAACTGAGTTACATGTTCCGGGTGTACCTGATTACCCACCCCCACCTTACTCAAAAGTCGAGCACGGTTATGATCAAGGTATGTATGAATGTACAGACTGGAAATAACAGTTCATCACTTTACAAAAAGACAGAAATCATAAAAAAATGAAACACCACACACACATACATATGTATTGATTCCGCATTCTCTGAAACTCGAAACTCCAACCCACAAAAATATTAACCCTGGCTATAATACACTGTCAATTTCATTCTTCTCATGAATGTGATTTATTTCTTGATGTAAATGTTGCATAATAGTTTTTTTTCCATATTTATTTCCCAATTGCGGATATTCTCAAGCTTTGTTAGAATTTGTTTTGGGGATTTTATTCTGGTTTTCTATACAGCTTCATAATAGATGAAATGTTTAATATATTTACAGCTCTATCTGTCGATAATGAAGGTTGCCATGGCGATGTCATCAAGCAAGATGGTGGCAATATTCAGTCTAAAAGAGTGTATGAGAGTGAAGGTAATAACACCCGATATATTTACGTAACACAACTTCCGACATAAATTAGCTGATAAAATATAGTGATAAATTCCAAACACATCATACATTTACACTCTTAAATATATAAATAATCCGACAATTGCCTACTTATTATTTATCTACGACTCATATTACAAAAAATACACACCTCAACCACACCAAGAAATGGATGTTCAATTGTAATAAAAGCTGTGTGTTTTATCTTTTTAGAAACAGCAAAAGAAAGTTTAGAGAAAGAGGTAATAAGTCCAGCTGCAGAATCTACACCAGTAGGTACCAGTGAGAGTCAAACAAGGTCAGTAATAATTAATAAAATAAATATATAAGTCTTCAATTATCAAAGAGACATTACCAATAAAACGTAATTTAATTAATTTTACAGTCCGATTTGACATTGACAATGACCCATTACCTTACAAGTATGTGTGCTTCTATAGATGTGATTAATGACTAAAGACAATTGTATTATATTATATTATCAGACATGTCATAAACTATGAAGTCCTAAAACCCCGTGGTTACCAGGAGGAACTTGCTGGGCCAGCCTGTAAGGGATTAAATTCTATTATATGTGCACCTACGGGTACAGGAAAAACACACGTAGCTATGATGGTGTCCAAGAATCACATGCACCGTGCTATGGAAGTCCAAGCAGCAGGAAATAGCAGCACCAGCAAGGGAAAGATACTGTTAACTGTCCACATGACTCCCCTCCTTAACCAGACATATAAGCGTTTTAAGACGTACCTACCATTGTTTGAAACTGGAAAAATTAGTGGGGTTACTACCTCGAAACTAACATTTGAACACTTGGCTAAGATCAACGACATTGTCATAACGACAGCTGGTTTCTTTGAAAACATCCTAGAAAGGAAAACTACATCAATATCAGCCTTTTCACTGATAATTTTATATGAGTGTCACTATGCTATGTAAAACCATCCTTACAACCGCATAATGAGAGAGTATCTAAAAATCAAGCTAGCTGGTTGCTCTGCCCAGCTTCCACAGATTATCGGTTTGACAGCAAGCCCTGAACTGTAGGTAAAAGTCATCTCCAGGCTGCACAAACACATTTATTGAAACTATGTGCTAACTTAGATGCTCAGACTTTTGTCACTGTGCAAAACCCTGACAATAAAGTCGAGCTCGAAAAGTACGTCAGTATACCCGATAAATTCACTACAATCGCCGCCACGAGATCTCCTGACCCTTTCCAAGACAGAATTGCTGAAACTATGGCAGAAATCGAACACAAGACTGGCGATATCGAGAGTGAAGGTAATCACACTCCATACATTTACGTAACACAACTTCATTGAGAATTTAGCTAATAAAATACCGTGGTAAATTCCAAAATGTACACTCTAAAATCTATAAATAATCCAACAATTGCCCAATTATTATTTATCTACGACTCATATGACAAACAAATACACACCTCAACCACACCAAAAAATGTATGTTTAATTGTAATAAAATATGTGTGTTTTTCATTTTAGAAACAGCAAAAGAAAGTTTAGAGAAAGAGGTAATAAGTCCAGCTGCAGAATCTACACCAGTAGGTACCAGTGAGAGTCAAACAAGGTCAGTAATAATTAATAGAAAAAATATCAAAGAGTCATCGTCAGCTTTATTACCAATGAAACGTGAAAATGATTGTTACAGAATTTTATGTAATTTTACAGTTCGATTTGATATTGACAATGACACATTAACTTACAAGCCTATATGCATCTATATATGTTTTTAAAAATGTGATTAATGACTAAAGACGATTGTATTACATTATATTATCAGACATGTCATAAACTATGAAGTCCTAAAACCCCGTGGTTACCAGGAGGAACTTGCTGGGCCAGCCTATAAGGGATTAAATTCTATTATATGTGCACCTGTGGGTACAGGAAAAACACACGTAGCTATGATGGTGTCCAAGAATCACATGCACCGTGCTATGGAAGTCCAAGCAGCAGGAAATAGCAGCACCAGCAAGGGAAAGATACTGTTAATTGTCCACATGAATCGCCTCCTTAACCAGACATATAAGCGTTTTAAGACGTACCTACCATTGTTTAAAACTGGAAAAATTAGTGGGGTTACTACCTCGAAACTAACATTTGAACACTTGGCTAAGATCAACGACATTGTCATAACGACAGCTGGTTTCTTTGAAAACATCCTAGAAAAGAAAACTACATCAATATCAGCCTTTTCTCTGATAATTATAGATGAGTGTCACTATGCTATGAAAAACCATTCTTACAACCGCATAATGACAGAGTATCTAAAAATCAAGCTAGCTGGTTGTTCTGCCCAGCTTCCACAGATTGTCGGTTTGACAGCATGCCCTGGAACTGGAGGTAAAAGTCAACTCCAGGCTGCACAAACACATTTATTGAAACTATGTGCAAACTTAGATGCTCAGACTTTCGTCACTGTGCAAAATCCTGACAATAAAATCGAGCTCGAAAAGTACGTCAGTAAACCCGATAAATTCACTACAATCGCCGCCACGAGATCTCCTGACCCTTTCCAAGACAGAATTGCTGAAATTATGGCAGAAATCGAACACAAGACTGGCGATATCGAAACATGCCCACAACGAGGCACAGAGGAATATGAACAATTCATCATCACAACGAGGAATGAAACATTAAATGGGAATAAACATGAGACTGTACAGTGTTGTGAACACCTGATTCAATACAATAAAGGTAAATAATGTTCTTAAAGACCATAGAAATATATTATATATATATGCAAGCAATCCATTGGTTTTATCTGCTATATATTTTAAATAAATTATACTTTTTTTTAGCAATAATTGATTTGATTTATTTTAGCTCTGCAAATAAGTAGCATGTGTCGCATGAGTGATGGGTTAAAGATAATAGACGGCTTCTACAATGAACGATGGCAGCGGGGTCAGCACGAGACCACTTCTATTGAGAAGTATCTGTACAAACTATTCAGACGTAGGTTGACAATGCTTTATGTTATCTTACTCTATGATATATATCAGAGTATCTACAATGTAGGGTTAGCACATGATACGACTCCTTGTCTGTTGTCTGACAGGCTCCGCTGCACTAGACCATTCACAATTTAGTATTTATATTTTAAGTACTTGCTTCGGGACGTACAAATATCATGTCAATGATTGCAATAGGAGACACTTTTGTCCACGGAAACTTAGTGGGTATAATGAATATAATAATATACTAGCGTTGTACGCATTGTGTATACATACTACTTTCTTTTTGTACAAGATATGGATATTGTTTTGAATATTTTACATTATTTCATCAGATATTAGATGAACTCATTTTATTTTGTTCGTGGGAGCAGTGTATTAAATTAGGCAAGCTGTTATTCTGATTGTGGGATTATTGTAGTATTTTATACTTATGGTACATTGATTCTTCTTTTTGATACACTATCCACTAGCAATTAAATATTTATTGAATTCAATATTACAATTCAAACTATTTAATATAATTATTTTAAAGGTAATTCCAGTGAGCTGTTTGACATTAGTGAAGATGAAAACAAATATCCGAATCCCAAAGTTTTGAAATTGAAAGAAAATCTTGCTGAAGAAATTAAAAAAATGGACGAAGAACTCAGAGGTACTCACACTTATTTTAGAGAAATCACTGGCTTTTTTGAAAATAAACTTTAGTCCAGAATTTCGAGTATACGCTGTCTTCAGGTTCTGGTCGAACGCTTCTGTACATTTGATGTGACTTCTAATCAATGGAACTTCGACAACAACGGTTCTTCACTGCCAAAACAATTTCTTGTTTTTACCTTTTTCTGGTTCTCGTGGACATCGAAAAATATACCTCTTTCTCCGCGATATTCCGAACGCACCAGCCAAGTTCCCCGGGATACCACCGCATGATTGGTGGTAATGTTGGAACACACAATGGCATTTAACGTAAATATTGTGACGTTTGCCGTTTATCAGTTAGTGATATTTCTGACTAAAAGTCACAACTGTGATTGATGCACGATAATCATGTGATAATACATAATATAACCACATCTTATATAATATTTTCAGGAATTATTTTTGTGAAAACAAGGGCTTTGGCACGAGCAATATACGAGTGTATTGTCGACGATAAAACACTGAAATCACTGAAACCCGCTATCTTGGTTGGAGTTAAATCGACGGGTGTGGAGTGTATGACGCAAGCTGAGCAAGATACCCGTCTGCGAAAGTTTGCACTTGGACATTGCAAGCTGTTGGTGGCAACAAGTGTTGCCGAAGAAGGGTTAGACATCAAAGAGTGCCATATGTTAATCAGATACAACTATTCAACCAATGTGATATCACTGAGGCAGTCAAGTGGTCGAGCACGTGCGCTGGAGAGCACAGAACATTTCATTGGAGATGAAGATCTTGCTACGCGAGATAGTGTAAATGTTTTTCTCGACCAGCAAATGGAAAAAGCGATAGACTTGATTCAAGATATGCCGCAGGCGCAACTGCAAGGCACTGTGCGACATACACAAATGAATGACATTGCTGAAGTTTATGAAAAAGAATCGAAACACATTCCTGTCAAATTCAAGTCAAATTCTGTCAAATTGTATTGCACTGGGTGTGGCAAATATGTATGTAACGGAAATGACGTATATATTTATGATGAGAGCTCCCATATAATTGTAGATAAGGCCATTATTAAAAACATCGCCACCATAATGACCACAAGAAGCGTGATGCTGGGATAAAGAAAATATATTGTAAGCACTGCAAGCAAGACTGGGGCAATGCATTAGTTGGGCCAAACTTTTATCCTGTAATCAAAATTACTAGTTTTATAATTGAATACCCTGGTGGTCAAAGAAAAAAAGTTAAAAAATGGAAACAAACGAATTTTACATTAGAACGATTGGAGACACTACCATCACAACCACTTCATGATGTTACCGAGAAGTAATCGAAATTTCAATATATGAAATGAGATTCTAAGAAGATTGACTGCGGAAGTCTTCTCAATATTGTTGTATTATAAAGGTCGCCTAGATCAAAATTTCTGTTGAGCTGCAATTATGTTATAAGTATATAGTTATGTTAGAGTTTCATAAAATGGAATGAAGTAACAGAAACACGTGGATGAGGGCCGTGACGACCGACCTCTTAGAATCATCCTTAATCGGAGTCGACCTTTCAATCATTGGGTATTAATATATCCAATTTCATTCGATTAACAGTAATGTTACTGTTAAATGATGAATCCAGAGGAATTGTAATGTGGATGCAGTGCTATTGTATATTAGTTGGTCGATATTGTAATTGTCGACAAAAAGCTAGTGTATACTAGTTGGTCAATATTGTAAGTATGAACGAAATGCTAGTGTATATTAGTAGTCGGTCGATATTTTAATTATAGACAAAATGCCAGTTTATATTATTAGGTCTATATTGTATTTTGAATGCAGTGCTAGGGTTTATTAGTTGGTCGATATTTTAATTATAGACAAAAGGCTAGTGTATATTAGTAGGTCAATATTGAAATAATGGACGAAATGCTAATGTGTATTAATAGGTCGATATTTTAATTATAGACAAAAGGCTAGTGTATATTAGTAGGTCAATATTGTAATAATGGACGAAATGCGAATGTGTATTAATAGGTCGATATTTTAATTATAGACAAAAGGCTAGTGTATATTAGTAGGTCAATATTGTAATAATGGACGAAATGCGAATGTGTATTAATAGGTCGATATTTTAATTATAGACAAAAAGCTTGTGTATATTGGTAGGTCAATATTGTAATAATGGACGAAATGCGAATGTGTATTAATAGGTCGATATTTTAATTATGGACAAAAGGCTAGTGTATATTAGTAGGTCAATATTGTAATAATGGACGAAATGCGAATGTGTATTAATAAGTCGGTATTTTAATTATAGACAAAATGCCAGTTTATATTATTAGGTCTATATTGTATTTTGAATGCAGTGCTCGGGTTTATTAGTCAGTCGATATTGTAATTATGAACGAAATGCTAGTGTATATTAGTAGGTCAATATTGTAATAACGGACGAAATGCGAATGTGTATTAATAGGTCGGTATTTTAATTATAGACAAAATGCCAGTTTATATTATTAGGTCTATATTGTATTTTGAATGCAGTGCTAGGGTTTATTAGTCAGTCGATATTGTAATTATGAACGAAATGCTAGTGTATATTAGTAGGTCAATATTGTAATAATGGACGAAATGCTAATGTGTATTACTAGGTCGGTATTTTAATTATAGACAAAATGCCAGTTTATATTATTAGGTCTATATTGTATTTTGAATGCAGTGCTAGGGTTTATTAGTTGGTCGATATTTTAATTATAGACAAAAGGCTAGTGTATATTAGTAGGTCAATATTGTAATAATGGACGAAATTCTAATGTGTATTAGTAGGTCGATATTTTAATTATAGACAAAAGGCTAGTGTATATTAGTAGGTCAATATTGTAATAATGGACGAAATGCGAATGTGTATTAATAGGTCTATATTGTAATTATGGACAAAAGGCTAGTGTATATTAGTAGGTCAATATTGTAATAATGGACGAAATGCGAATGTGTATTAATAGGTCTATATTGTAATTATGGACAAAAGGCTAGTGTATATTAGTTGGTCGATATTGCAGTTTCCATGCAGTGCTACTTTAAATTATTGGTTTATCCTGTTAATTGGAGTGCAGTGCTACATTATTATTGGCGATACTTTAGATGCAGCGTTATTTTCTGTGAAGAGTTTTCCATAATAAATTGAGTGTGCAGTACTACTGTATATTTGATGATTGCCTGTGTTTTGTAATAATTTAATTTTGGAATAATTTAGGAATAATCTCTATTTCAATTAAGGTAGAGATGCAGGTTTGTAGGCACATGGGAGTGAATTTTTTTTTGCTTGTTATTATCCAAACAGTTTTGGCTGTAGACTGTTAAAATTTTGTAGAATTGTGAATAGTGGAACATACTCAAAAAACGATTTTAATATATAGATAACAGGTGCAAACATTCTCTCTTTTGAATGCTTAGCAAGATTTAGCAAGGCTGTACATAAATAATAAAAAAGAAACATGTTGAAAAAAAGAAATGACGGGATCTCCATATTATGCACAATATTTAACTTTTTACAAAACGATAGTACATTTAAATTTGGAACTGTTACAGCCATTTTAATTATGATCATTAGCAAACTTCTTACTGAGTGAATTGTTATGCAAATTAGCAATTATCTCAGCTTCTTTTTAGTGCACATTCCAGAACTTTAGCTCCTAGAAAATAGGTCCTAGACGCTTTGACCTTTTGTTTTGAAATTTACACAAATGATTGACAATGTGTTTATCTTCAAAACGCCGTCGAGGCATTTGTTTGGGTTGACCAGTGTTACAACAATCGTACATACAACTAGCATGGGTGTTAATTTATGCATAAACTTGAAGTGGTGAAATTTGAACTGCTGCTCTGCAAAATTGACAACTGGTAGACAGTTGTCAACACGGCACTTTCTTCACAGTAAAGAGATGTAGCCGTAAACCAATTTTGACAGGAAACAGAAGCATGGTTTAGAAGCAAATTTTTTTTTAAATCACTTTTGACCAAAAAAGCACATTTTTGTGCATATTTCAAACTACACTGTCCATAAAAAATACTAACAAAATTTTAAAATTCATACAATAAGCTTTCCGAAAATATATAGTTTTGTTGACCAGGGAGGTCATCTTGGTTTCCTAATTAACTAATTACAATACCTGTCAGGTAAACTGCAGTGCTATTCTGTAGACAATGATATTGTTTATCAAAAGTTGTCAATACTATATTTTGATTGTGGTGCTACTTTATATTGGGCGAGACTCAGTGTATTTTGTATTTTTACAATTTTTTAAAACTGTTGTCAACTTATATTGTTGGGGGTTTCGTTGCATTTCGGTAAACGGGTATTGTATTATATTGTCTACGTTGGTCTTAAAATTGTCGTTTTTTTCACAAGGTCACATTCTTTGGTATTTTATACACTGTACAAATATAGATCGTGTTCTCTTTGCATCGCTACGGCAGTCTAAGATCACTGGGACAAAGATGATTATTCCCATCGAATGTGACCATTTTCACCTTGTTTCGCGTATTGCATCACGGGAAAAGATCGACGTATACATTTGCATTACACAATTGAATACCTGAACATGATTGACCTTCTTCTGAGGTATTGTCTTGTTAGAGACTGTCCAAAATTTGTTGAAATATTTGAGCGAGTGCAAACTTTAATCTTATTATACTCAGTTCGTCCGCTAAAAAACGTGAAACAAAATAGGTTCACCGTAGTATGACATAATAATATTCGCATATTAGGTTAACGGGCTGCAGCTGAACATAAAAATAAAACTGCATTTCTATAATTTGATTGGGTGAAAACAGATGAACGGCAGACATGACTCTACTTCTATGATGGCTGAACGAACGGTTATCGTTGTCTTGTGTCATTGTGCGCACAGCACCGTGCACTACGTGTAGTTTGTGTTGTAAAACACAAAACGTGTCGACTTCGGAAGTTCGAAGTCGTTACTGCCGAATCGAAGAAGCACGACGTATTCTAGGTAGTTGGACTTGGAATAGCACAATTATATATTTAGGCCAGACTTTTATTATCCCTTGTTTCGCGAACCCGCCGAATGAACAGGAGCCGAAAATGAAATAAAAATAAAATTTTATTTCAGCGTAATTTCTCGCGCCCGCCAACCTGTAAGCGCAAACAAATGCTAACAAAATATTATTTTTATCTTAATTTTTTTTTTACCACCCGCCGCATAACAAATCCAAGTTGCATTTTCATGGGAGTATCATGATCAAAGTACCAAAGTCTCGCGCAGATGAGTAACAAGGTTATACATGGAATACATTTTATTTCATTTCTTCTCTCCGATCAATGATCTCACTTGCAATTCTTTGAGAATCACACAAATCTAATGGAAAAAAAGAATTAATTTTATTTTTTGTCCGCCCTCCTCAAAAAAATTGCCTTATAAAAACTCGAGAAACAAGGAATAAAAAAAGCCTGGCCTAAAGATCGTACACATACTAGAAACAGGAGTGACGTCATAGGGATTTCCCCGAACTTATGAGTCACATAAATAGCTTTAACAACGGTATGTAGCGGTAAGCGAAAGAGATGTTTCCCAGTGCTTCGAATTTACTGCAGTATTAACCGATTAAGAATGAATGCTCACAATACATCTATGGCCATTGGTGTCGAGGAAGATCCAGACTACGTTGATCCCATTGAAATTACGATTTTAAGGCAGCAGCGAGGCGTATTGATACATGACATTATACCATCGCAGATTATTCCTCACTTGACATGTCTGACCCGTACCGACGAAGGTCGTATCCTGACTGCTGAAAACAAAGGTAGTACGATCGACGGAGCACTGACTTTACTGGATCTTCTTGTTAAAAAAAGAACAGAATGGTACGAGGACTTTTTAAAAGCACTTAGGAACGACGAGGTCAAACTCGGCCACCTCGCCGCGTCGCTGGAAGAAGGTAAGCAGTGAGCTGAAAGGACGGTGGTCGTCGCGTCGCGCATGCGCGACATTTGTGTTGATAAACATAGATTTTCCCACAATCCAATGCGCACAAGTTTTGACCCGGATACAACATGCGCTAATTACCGTTGTTGACGCTTTCGACGCCTTCCAAGCACTAAACAAATTATCTACGTAAAGCATGGTACTCGGTCTGCACAACAGTCAAAATCGCCATCTTTTTTTCATATCAGACCCATATCGCGCGCATGCTTGACGCGAAGACCATCGCCCTTCAAAGGTATTCATAATTTGTTGTCAATATCATGACATTGTTTTCAGTCTTATCACAGAAAGTTCCTTTCACGTTCGCATTGTCATTGTGCAATGATTCGCCGGGTTCAGTGACTTCTACTGCCATGCCTGTTGACAAATATTAGATTGTTTTGCAACATATTGAAATATACAAAATTATAATTTATAACCGCTTCCAGTGTATGCAAACATACGTTGAAATGTTATACTATATTGCACTATTTCTAGTCAAAATTTATGCTGTTCGAAGTAGCTCATTTTCAATGAAATATATTAAAACTGATTTACTATTAACACTAGGAAATGGATGTGTTTGATATGCAATGAATGGTAAAATGTAAAACTACTTATGATTGGCCAACAGTTTATAAACCAATTTAGCATATGACATGTATTATATAAAGTCATAATTGAAAGCTGGTAGAGATAATGGTATTACGCCAATGGGGAATTTGTCTTATTTCTATTTTACTCCCTTTCCATATACAGTTACCGGTATATAGCCCACTGCTTCTTGCTCGTTATATAAACGATTGTATATTTTGAGTGAACATTACATACTCTTGCATTTACTAGGTGTTGAGAAAGGAAGACAGAGTGAGGCACAGAAAGATGGTATCCGAACGTTTGAAGGTGGATACTCTGAAGGAGAGTCGGCTGCAGGCAATCTGAAATCACCCCCAAGTCCTGACACGGCTCATAAGCAATACAGCACAAAATTGATTCCAAGATTTTCCCAAGAACATAGAGGTACATTAGTTTATTTTGATTGTTTTAACCCACTTCTATTAAGAGGAATCTAGACCCTGGTCTACTTTGCCGGTGACTAGATACCGGTACTTATACACATGTATTGCGTTGTGCATGACCAATTATTACAGTGCATACCATCGCGCATTTGCCCACCATTGGTTGTCATTGAACAAGATTTAATTTACTATGCATGATTGACTTGTCAACTGTCCATGTTTAACTCTTTATATATTGGATAATCTAATCAATCAACTCCACCAGACTTTAATATTTTGTCATGTTAATGATTTACAGGTCGCATAGGACCGGAAATAGCACACACTTTTTCATCAGCTGGATATATTCCTGATGACCCACCACCACCTTACACATCTGGTTCATTTATTGAAAATCAAGGCCAACCATTACGGGGTGCAGAAGAAGATCTTGGAACTAGTCCTAGTCAGTCAGTCGTTAACATTTATATACATAAAGATGCTAAAATACAAAGTTTGCAAATTGGAGATCACAATGTATTAGAAGCCGAAAGAAAGCAAGACAATGCTGGTAACAAACTTTATATATATTCATATATCAGTAGTAGCACACGTTTTGATGCAGCTGTACATCCATTTTCTAAAAAAAAATCATAAAATTCAAAAGAACTTACATGATGGTAAATAATAGTGAAAGTTTAAAAAATATTATCAATGTTCCTTACCTAAAACATGCTACTATTAAAGATACTTCTGTGGACGTGGGTTCAATGCATAATTATTCACAATTAGTGTTAATACTCTCATATTTTACATTTAGATTTGTTAATAATTTGTTTTGAATTATTGTGTAGTTTCACATACAAATACGGAAGACGATGAACCAATAGAAGATGATGGGGACGTTTATTACACGGCACCTGAAGTTCAGAAAGATGTCACACAAGGTGAAACAGATTAAATTACGTAATGCTCTTATAACAGTTACATTGCATATTAATTGCCTGTACAGAAATGTGAACTCATTTGGTACGAACGTTTATTTTTATTTTATTTCGTAAACAGGAAATGGGGAAGTTGAAAAATGCACACTTGAAATGTCAAAAATGCTCACAAACCAAACGTCATCCACAGTTGCTGGGAGCATTCAGAAAGTGTAAGTATTTTGTTTTATTGTACAGTGCATGACAATACGAATCATTGGATTTATATGTTAGAGTCATCAAAGTCATTTATTCAACTTTATAACTGACTTATAATATATATATATATAGTTTTAATGTGTCCAAATGCTTAGTTTAAAAAAATGACAAAATATTAAGCATATGATAGCATATGTAAGTGTGCATATCATGTTAAATTATTTATTTCTTGCAGAATTGTTACTCCAAATTATGAAGAGTTGATACCTCGTAGTTACCAGGAGGAACTTGGAGGACCAGCCTGCCGTGGATTAAATTCCATAATATGTGCACCTACTGGTACTGGAAAAACACATGTAGCTATGATGATTGCCAAACGCCACATGGAAAATGCTTTAGCATCTCAAGCCCGAAAAGGTTTTACCACCAGCGGAGCAAAAGTCATCTTTCTGGTTCACAGAATACCTCTTTTGAACCAGACGTATAAGCGACTGAAGATGTACCTGCCTTTGTTTGAAATTGGCAAACTAAGTGGAGCTTCGTCATCAAACGTAACCTTTGAAAAGTTGGTCGAAATAAATGATATCATAATCACCACTACTGATATATTAAAAAACAGTCTTAAACATGGGAAGTCATCTATGTCAACATTTTCTCTCATCATAATAGATGAATGCCATCATGCTATGAAAAATCATCCATACAACATAATCATGGCTCAGTATCTCAAAGAAAAATTTGATAACAAATCGTCCTTACCGCAAATAGTTGGATTGACAGCTAGTCCTGGGACTGGCAGTAATAGTGAACTCGGAGCAGCAAGGGACCACATTTTGAAGCTTTGTGCTAACTTGGATGCCGGTGAATTTGTGACAGTGAAGAACCCCCGGAATAAAGCAGAACTAGAGAAGTTTGTCACAGACCCTGATAAAGTAACAACAATTACCACTCCAAGAAATCCTGACCCTTTCCGTGGCAAAGTAGAAGAAATTATGGCGAACATTGAAGGGAAAGCCAACTTTACAAATGTATGCCCACCACGTGGTACTCAGCCATATGAGACATTCATCATTTTACAGAGAGATGAAGCCATTGCCAATAAAAACCACGAAACTGCACAATGTTGTGATCACTTAAATGAATATAACAAAGGTAATTTAACAATAATATCAAGTAATTATCAAGATAGTATGTATTGACATACTTGACCCAGGGACACCTTATACATTGTATCTAGGTAGCTGAAAAAAGTATATACCCGAAATATTGTGCCATGTTTCATACACCCAAATTAAACAAATCCACGTTGTCATTCCGTCATATGCCGCGGTCTCTAATGAAGTATTTCTGCAAAGTAATTCGGTGCAAGGGACACCGCTCATAGCGACAAAAGTCTTTTGATAAGTGGTTGTCCATCTGTACTGTTTTAAGTCATTTGTCATATTCTAAATAGTGAACGACTACTCAACAAGGTGTCTCATTGAGTAACATTCGTACATTCATCACCATCATTTTTACGTCACGTACAATCTTTGTCTGTAGAGGGCTCGAATGATAAGAGAGGTATATTATCGATTAATCACTAGTTGTTGTTTGGTTCCCCAGGTCTGCTGACAAGCGATGTGTGTCGTATGAGTGACGGCTTGCTGAATATAGATGAGTTCTACAACGAAAGAAGGCGACGAGGTCAACACAAGAATACTCCAATGGAGGATTACCTATACAGATTATACAGAAGTGAGTTGAAAAATATTCTTGAGCATAATGAAGCACAAAAACATTAGACGATCTAAATAAAAAAAATGAAATTATTATTATGTTGTTATATCTGTATATATATATGTATTATCTCAAACTGTGATTTAGGTAATTCTGGTGACCTGTTTGAGGCAAGTGACAAAGAGAATGATCACCCAAATCCAAAGGTAGTGGCATTGAAGCAAGCATTGAAGCAGGAAGTTCAAGAAAAAGGCAATGATTTTCGAGGTAACGTTTGCGATATGAATATTCATAGCGATCTGTAACTATAAACAACACTGGACACCCCGGGATATAGTTAGCAATTTTTAAGGCCAGAAATATAAACAGCATATATATAAAGTGATTGTTTTCATTTTCTTTGTAAATTCATAGGACAAAAGTATCATGAAGATAAATAAATGCACATCTCAATGTATGGTCTGATAATGATATGAACATAGACAATTCCCCAGTTCCCCTGCTTTCAATTAAACTTCCTATTTTCAGGCATAATTTTCGTGAAAACCAGAGTTCTAGCTAGTGCAGTTCTTGACTGTATAAAGGAGGATCAGGAGCTACAAATGTTGAGACCGAGCAGACTGACAGGGGTGAAAACAGCTGGTGATGAAAGCATGACACAGGCTGAACAAGATAGTAATCTGCGAAAGTTTGCAGATGGTGATTGCAAACTCCTGATTGCAACCAGCGTTGCCGAAGAAGGGCTAGACATTAAGGAGTGCCACATGGTAATCAGGTACAACTACGCAACCAATGAGATATCCATGCGGCAGGCACGTGGGAGAGCTCGAGCAACTCAGAGCAAGGAGCATTTTATCGGTGATGAAGAACTTGCTTCGAAAGATCACGTGAATGTTTTTCTTGACCAGCAAATGGAAAAAGCAATACAAATGGTCCAAGGAATGCCAAGAGAAGACTTCTTGAACGCAGTCTTAGACACACAGAAATCTGTAATTGATGAAAGAAGCGAAAAGGAATTGACGATGCGTTTGAAAAGGGGGGAGAATGAAGCAAGTACAGTCAAACTCTTTTGCAGAGGTTGTGATGAATTTGTCTTTTTTGGAAACAATGTTTATTTATATGGCGAGAGTTCACATATTATTAAGGATATGAATATAATCGAATGCAAGATTGAGTTTCGCGAACACACTGACAAAAAGAAACGTGATAAAGGTATAAAGAAGATATATTGCAAAGTATGTAGCCAAGACTGGGGTAATACGTTGCCATCTGGATATCCTGTAGTTAAGATTGAAAGTTTCACTCTAGAGTACGCAGATGGTAGCCGGAAAAGAATTAAAAAGTGGAAAAGTGCGGATTTCACATTGGATGTCTTACAGCGACTCCCACCGTTCAAAAAAAAAACCAAGTAAATGCAACGATAGCATTTAAAATATTCAATAATAGTATATTAATCAGTCGGAACAGAAAACTGTATATCATGTAAAGTAACAGTGTTATTTTAGACATAACCACTGAGTTGAGTTCTTCATGGCAAATGAGTTTGAAAGAATAAAGGGCGGTAGTCGTCGCGCCACGCATGCGCGAGATATATGGGTCTCATATAAATAAAGGTGGCGACTTTGACTGATCAACGAGTGCAAACTGAGACGTTATCAAGCTTCAATTAAGTATTGTTTAGATGATTGGAAAGTATCAAGGAGTCAAGGAAGTCACCGGCGGTAATCGGTGCAAGTCGCGCCCAGGTCAAACTTCATACTTGTGATTTCCATTAAACAAACGCAATGAATTGTGGGCAAATCAGTGTTTGTCAACACATGCGCAACGCGACGACTGCCATCCTTTAAAAAAATAGAAGTAAGGGTATACAGTAAGAAAGGCGGATATTAATTAGTTTAAGGTGATATGTTTTTACATTTAAATAAATTATACTCTGTATAGATTGTATTTGTCAAATATTTTGCTATTTCTCAGCTGTGTTTCATCAGATTTAAAAAAATATTCTTTTCATTTGTTTGATTTCACATTCTAGAAAGCATATTTCAGAACTATAAGCTTGTTTCATTCCATTGATTTAGTAGTATACTTAGTACATATTGATACATGTGTATATTTACAAGATAAATTATCGGTTTCACCTCTCATTCCAAATCAAACTCGAGAAAATGACCATTGAGACAGAATGTTATATCCATACTTGTTAATATTAAATTTGAATTTGAATCGTTATGATTATAATTGATTTAAGGTAGAGATGCAGGTTTGTGGGCACTTGGGAGTGAATTTTTTTTTTTGCTTTTTTGCTTTTTATTATCCAAACAGTCTTGGCTATAGACTGTTTAAATTTTGTAGAATTGTGAATAGTGGAACATACTCAAAAAACGATTTTAAAATATAGATAACAGGTGCAAAATTATCTTTTTTGAATGCTTAGCAAGATTTAGCAAGGCTGTACATAAATGATAAAAAAAAACATGGTGAAAAAAAGAAATGACGGGATCTCCATATTATGCACTGTATTTAACTTTTTACAAAACGATAATACATTAAAATTTGAAACTATAAGAGCCATTTTAATTATGAGCATAAGCAAACTTCTTACTGATTGAATTGTTATGCAAATTAGCAATTATCTCAGCTTCGTTTTAGTGCACATTCCAGAACTTTAAAAAAAAATAGCTCAGAGACGCTTTGACCTTTTGTTTTGAAATTTTCACAAATGATTGACAATGTGTTTATCTTCAAAACGCCGTCGGGGCATTGTTTTTACCTTGCCCGTACCATCAAAGATTTTGTTGTTGTTGTTGTTGTTGTTGTTAATAATTGTTATTGTGTGCATAATAACTTTACTAATTCTATTCCAAACTTTATCAAACTTGGTCACCTTATTCATCAGTATAAAGTCTTCCCTGAGTTTGAACAACAGATGTCCTGTATGAAAATATCATGCAAAAATTGAGAAAATCTGATAAAATATTTTGACTGTTTCTACTTGACTGA